CCCGGAGGGTGGTGGAGTTCTGGAATGTGCTGCCTGGGAGGGCCGTTGAGGATAGTAACCTCGCAACCTTTAAAAATTACTTGGATGAACACTTGACATGTCATACCGTTCAAGACAATGGGCCTAGTGCAGGAAAGCCGGACAAGTGTCGGTAGTCGTATATATTTGTTGTTCTGTGTGAGTTTGTGATATTTATAGATCTGCCACATACTGTTCCTGGCAATCTGCATGTCTCAATAAATCAGGATTACTTTAACTAGGTTAGAGGTAAGTTAATAAATTTTAATCATGTTTTTCAAGGGAAGTGTCACATTCTTTGTAAGTTCATAGAATTTTGTAAGGTTAAATCTTCATCCTGATGTTGCTCGAGAAATCAAAAATATTATTTCATTCCAAGTGCATCAGTTCATACCATTGCCTGTGTTTTTCTCTCCTCTAACAGCAATTCATAATTTATTGAGCACAAGGAGATCGTGTTGGGATGAAATAACTCTTCAGTGCAAAAATTCTGCAAGTTTGTCAAATTTTGTCGTCACAGTTGTTTAACAACATATGTGTCACAATTTCTCCGAGGGAGCCTTTGGAGATATACAACGTGTGTGTTATGCAAGAGGAAGGAACAGGAGGAGTCTTTCTTATTGCAGGCTGATATTTCAGCTCTCCCAGACATGGCCATACTGAAGGTGAAATCTGGGATCTTAGGAACATGGAAACATAGAAAAGTAGGCCATTCGACCCATTGAGCCTGCTCTGCCATTCAATATGATCGTGGCTGATTAAACACTTCAATACCTTTTACCCACTCCATCCCCATAACCATTGGTACATCATTGGTCATCAGAAAACTCTAAATCCCTACCTTAAATGTACTCATAGTCTGGGTTTCTGGTGGGGTAGAGAATCCCAAAGATTTACAATCCTTTAAAACAATAATTCTCCTCATTTCAGACCTAAGAGAACCCTCCCCCCAATTTTTCAATTGTGCTCCTGCTTCTAGACTCCCCAACCAAGAAACACACCTTACCTGCATCTACCCTGTCTATCCCTTTAAGCATTTTTGTAACTAGAATGAGATCACCTCTCATTCTTCGATACTCGAGAGAATACCAGCACAGTCTCTCTTCATAAGTCAGTCTTGTGAACATTTGTTGCATTCCCTCAACGGCAATAATATCATCCCTGAGATAAGGAGACCAAAGCTGCACACAGTACTCCAGCTGTGGTCTAATGAAGCTCCTATGCAACCAAGGGAAGATTTCACAACCCTGCATTGAAACCCTCTTGCAACAAAGGCTAACATTCCATTAATCTTCCTAATTGCTGTTGCACCTTCATTTGAGTTTACACTGACTTTTTGACAAGAACAAAAACATTCCTTTGCATGTCTACATTTTCCAACCTCCTGTTGGCCTGAATAGGAGAGTCACCAGCCTATTTCTGAGATGATTTTCTTTCTTCCCCTAATTGTGTTTGCCACCAATTTAAGCAACAAACTGTAGTCAAGAGTGTGGTCAATTTATATGTTCCAGCTTTGTACCAGAATTGTTTCCCTGTTAGAAGGTGCACAAGAGAGATTCAAAGCTCATTTAATTTTCCAATTTTTTTCCCAGCTCTGAATGGGCACCTATTTTCTCGTTGACATCTATCTGATTGGTGTAGGAGATTAAGCCACTGTTAGGCATTGAATTTGGAGGATACTATGCTCAGACAAGCCATATTGCATGGGCAGTTCTCCTCAGCATGAAGGTTCCAGTTTATTTTACAAGACATGTAATATGCCAAAAAGCAGGTCGGCAACATTCAACTCCAACTTTAACTTGTCACTGATGAAGAAAGTCAGTCAGTTTTGCACTGTGCTTGATTTTCCTTTTCCAATGGATGTGGTGTGTTAAATAGTAATATGCTGTATCTCATTATGTGACATTGCACTGCAGAAAGTACAAAAATGAGATCAGGAAAGAGTATCAGTGCTAATTTTTATTTGTCCACCCCGTTAGATGATGCAGACTTGTGTATCACCCAACAATGCTTTACTCTTACTGATGGAATATAGGGATGTGTCAATTTCACAAAGAAATTTTCACTGTGAAATTCCTCCGAACTCTTTGTGTCTCTTGGACTTATTCCAGGGCATCGCAATTTCTCATTAATAGCCTACATTATCGAACCTGCCTCCCTATATGTTCCAATTGTCTTAGAACATCAAATTATATGTACTGACACCACAGGTTCGGTTATCTTCATCTTTGAAAAATGTAATTGTTGTCCTGTTAAATTTCAAACATTTTCTGCTTTCATTGCTGCTCTGTGTAGACTACTCTATTTGTTCACCATCTTCTACGAAAAAGAATTTGCATGCTCACTATGTATTCATGTTTTCTCCTTTAAATTTGAATGGATCCACCTAACTTTCAGAATTCGTGTTAACATTCTCAAGCCATTGTTTTGGAGCCAAGCTCATTTTACCTTCAATGGCTTGGAGACTCCAACAAAGTCATTTCTAATCTGCTTTCTCTTTTCCTCAGCGTAAGCATCAGTAATATCTTTGGTCTTCCATTATAATTTGATTATCAACCTATTTGCCCTTCCTTGTACTTCCAGTCAGGACAGAATGGCCACTCTGTTGCACAATCTCATGAATTGTATATAATATTTGGGTAGTGCTTGCCTCATGACTTCGGATGTCTTGGGTAGAACTTAGTAGAAATTTGAACTTTGAAATGATGAAAGTGCTGTAAAGGTTCATGTTGCATGTTCTCTGGTCTTGCTGTGCACTCATGCTCTGTCCTTTATTCATGATCATTTTTTCCTTTCTTCTTCTCTGTCGCAGTGTGTCATCCAGGTTATCTTCCCAAAGCAAAAGCACAAGACATGCGCCCAATCAAAGAAAGACCTCTAGGTCAGCTGGTGTTGCTTGTTTTTAGCCCACTGATCGCTTTTAACATTAGAGGTGTCTGATTTGACTGTTACCTGCATGGCTAGGCATTTTTCCAACCTACTAAGTTCGCACCATCATCTTTACTGCAGTGCTATTAACACTGGGTATGTGTCCAGCTCTCCCTGTCCATTTAAACAAATTGCAATAATAAACAAGAAAATTGCTGGAGACACTTAGCATCTGTGGAAGGAGAAACATATTTAATGTTTCAAGTCCAAAGCCTTGCTTTGAGTCCCAAGTCCACGCCAGACTTGAATCATTAACTCTGTTTCTCTACAGATTGCAGCCAGACCTGCTGATTTCTGCTGTTTTTATTTCAGATTTTCAGCATCTGCAGTGTTTTGCTTGAATTGAAAGATACTGCATCCTATTTTGTTGAAGTGTGGTAAAATATTAAGCATGCCTCCCACCAGTTCTCCCACCTATCTCCTGATCTGATTGATTCCCCCTGCTCATCACTGTCTGGCACTTCACTCAAGTGATCTTGCCTTATTTATTGGTCCTGATGGTGCTTGTTGGCCAGCTATCAAACTGTGCAACTTCACAATTGAGACTGTGTCTCAGACTGATCCTGGTCTGAACTGATGCTCAAACAATAACTGCATATTTAATAAATTTGCTGATCCTTTCGGAAATTGGTGAGATTGAAGGAGTATGAAAATGCACATCCACTGCAGGACTCAGAGGTCCTTTTATTCATGCCTTAACTAGGTTTCATGCTTGCTCAGTACATAGCCCTTAGCAGGAATCGTGGATAGCACTGTCTGCAAGTCAAAACACAAGAACAGTTTAACATTTTAATTGTTTCAATTGATAAGCTGGATGTTATTGATGCACCAGAATAGCACATGTATGAATCACCTCATCACCCTGTTGAGCTTTAGTTTTCTCCAAACAGAAACATGGCATCAACCAGCTTGATGTAAATTGAAAACCTGAAACCTTGTATGGTGTGGTCACAGTTCAAACACTGATTCTTTCACATTGGAGTTGCACAGCAAGCTGAAGAATATTAAAGAGCAGGTTCTTTACTATACTTCCTCTGGCTTGCTTCAAAAGTTGCTGAGAGTACGAAATGAACCTGGTAGTGAATGGTCTTTAGTACTGTCACATTCAATGTACTGAATTTATATAATTTGCCTGATCTCAGTTCAATGAAAAGCCTGAATGCCATGGTGCAGGAGATTCTTTCATTTCTTTAATTATAAAGATCAAGATTTCCTTCCAAGTGTTTTCACAGAATCATTACAGTGCAGAAAGAGGCCATTCAGCCTATCATGTCAGCAACAAGTCTATTATCTAGTTTGGCTGTATTACCTACTGCCAATCTACTGCCTTTTCCCCATATCTCTGCATACCATCCCTATCCAAGTAACCATCCAATACCCTCTTGAATGTCTTCACCACATTTCCAAGCAGTGCATTCCACACCCTAAGCACTCGCTGTATGAAAAAGTTTTTTTAATCGCATCACCCTTGCTTCTTTTGCACATCACTTTAAACCCATGCCCTCTAATTCTTGTTTCTTTTGCAAGCAGAAAAAGCTCAGTTAATTTTCAGTGTTTGTGAATTGAGTTATTAATTTGTCTGACAGCAGTGTTTACTTCGGAATCAGGTTTCTATTCACTAACTCCATGTGCGTTTTCTAAGACATTTCATTTTAGTTACTTCAAGCAATTTCAATAGCCTATGGTTTAATTTGCTTCCCTGATCTTAATGTTGTGTTGATGCCAGTGTTGTGAAAACTGCCTCAATTCAAAACACAGTGTGTGCCGTGTGGTTTGTTCAAGTTCTTTGTTGGTGACAAGTTTTGTTTCTTGTGGTATTGTCTTATGCCAATGATTTTCAGTTGGGCTTGCTTCTTATTATTTTCTGTTGGGCTCACTAT